CCAAAGGTGGTTGAGAATGACCAAGCTAAGATCCTGTGGGACTTCCACATACAAACTGACAAACTGCTAATGACAACCAACCAGAAATAGTGGTGGACAAACAGAAGAAGAAGGCCATAGTGATAGATGTAGCAACCCCAAAGGATAGCAACATCAGGAAGAAGGAACACGAGAAGCTCAAGAAATACCAAGAACTGAAAGTAGAGCTAGAAAAGATGTGGAAGGTGAAGGCACAAGTGGTCCCCGTGGTAATAGGAACATTGGGGGTGAACTGGGAGAGTGGCTCCAACAGATCCCAGGAACAACATCTGAGATCTCTGTCCAGAAGAGTGCAGTCCTAGGAACAGCTAAGATACTACGCAGGACCCTCAAACTCCCAGGCCTCTGGTAGAGGACCCGAGCTTGAAGGAAGGAATAAGATCACTCCAAAGTGGGGTGTGTGGGGAATTTATATATATATATACTGTAAGCACATTGTATGATAACATTTGTTCCATGGCTCTCTATGTTCCCTCTAATGCGTCTGGTTTCAGGAAATCCTGATGTCCCCAAAATACACCAAAGAGAAATTCGTCAGCAAAAGACTCTTCAGCTTGTTTGGTGGAAGGTAATTTATTACCTATGGGCTTTTTATTGCCTGTCGTAATTATTAATTCTGGTTTGAGTGAAAATAAGTGCTTGATGTGTTTAAGCTGCAAATATACTTGGCTGAATTCTGTCACTATATAAAGTAATGGCTGCTGAATAAGCTTGTACATGGTTTTAGAGCAAAGGGTTGCATGTAAACACAACGGTGGTGAGCTTGATATGTCATTGTGATCATGTTATCAAAAAATAAAGTGAGAAAGGACTTGGTAGAGTTCAGCTTTCTGGCACTCATCCATTTCTGTCCCCTGTGTCTTTATCGTTTCTATGTACAGCTGAGAAAGTATAAAGAGCAGGAAAAGTGATTATCATTTATCTAAGGACAGCTGGATCACCTCTCAGTGCTGAAACATTTTCTGCATCACTAAGGAACCAAAAACAACTTTAAATCTGTGTTGACTTTTTTTTACCCAACTCCTAGCCACACAGAACTGCGATCTTGGCTCCAGACTGTCAGTCAGTTAATGTTAAACCTGGAATACCTGGAAGTTGCACAGATACAGTAAACTGATATGGTTATTGGCTGAACTCTTGCGGTGTACTGGTAACACATCTGTCATCTTTGACGGAAGTACCAGGTTCAAATCCTGGCGAGAGTGCATGGCCTCATCAGTTTTTTAGCCTAATATTTTACTTTACTGTTAGTACTTGCAAAAAGAAACATGACAATACTTTTACAATAAAACAAAGTTGAATCTGACTCATCCTAAATATATTCTAATATTAATTAAAAGACATCATGAAATGATATATGTATTTGCATGGTTTTCTTTTTTTTAAGTGCATAAATACTTCCTTTTAACACTTGACACTGACATTTTCGATTTCTCTGCTCAAACTTCCAGACTATTAGAAAATCAGTTATTCTGTGGAGGAAACAAAGTAGAATGTGTGTACTGCACAAATGACAATATTTCAAATTATTTTGACTAATAATTTCCTAATCCTGAATATTTATCCAAGTACTCCTACTGGCAACAAAATTTGGAATCTATTTTTGTATATCGATATAAGTTGTCACATACAGTATCCTTCTACAGTTCAGTATCAAGTGCTAGTAACAACAAAACCTGAATAGGTCAATCCATTTCTATCATGTGATCTGATCAATGTGTGTGTCACACCTCAGCACTCACACTGGCAAGGGGGACAGAAAACAATGTAAGAGCGTGACAAAGTTGGTAAGAACATTAACCACTCAGTCTATATTTAACCCCAGGCTGCGAGCCAGACTGAGCTGCTGATAGGTACTGTAGGTAGCTCGCTGTACAGGCAGGCGTGCAGTCAGTCATGTATTCTAGAGCAATGTGCTGGACACTGGCTGCCCATAGCTGATTTTAAATTGCACATCAGACACATGAAAGAATGCTGATGAAACTGCAGGAAATATTCCAGTTATTGCAACTTTAATTTTTCCAAACTATGTACATTACATCAGACATCCTTCTGCTTCTGGTCAGGACTTCCACAAAAAAGCTGCAATTATAATTGCAGTTTTAATGGTGTATGCATGCTGGGCACAAGTACAATACTCCTTTTCCACAGGAGGATGCTGAACACAGCTGATGTGAAACCACCTCTCACAGCTGTCGCAGCAAATCTGTAAAATAAATATTTTGAAACAAAAAGGGAGATTACAGAGAGCTCAGGAAGTTCACAAAATATTCAAAGGTTCTCCTTTTCAAAATTGACCAACAAAATTTTGCTTAAAAAACAAAAAATCAAACTTTGTAATTAAGTTGCCCATTGTGTGTCATTATTAGGACTCCCACAATAATAGCACAAATTGCTGAGATCATCTGTAGAAAAAAATATATATTCAAAATTTTTTTATTAGGTATTTAGTATCATAATTATTTCTACATGTAGTAATTTCTTGAAAACTACATTTTTCAGTTCTTTTCAATTCATATCTGATCATTTAAAGACATGGAAATTTTCTCTGATAATCAAAACAGGGTACATACCAGATTCCTAGAGGAGGATGGTCGCTATATGCAGCCTCATTTTATTTACCTCCCCCTTTGACATGTCAAAATTCAATTGGCCCCCACACAGAATGTTTTCTGCAAACTGAGGATAACTTGTGTTGGTGTTCAAGGAAAACATAAAAATATTGAACTACACAGCAACATTTATGTTTATATTTACTTAGGTGTCATTCCGATTTTTTTTTTACAAATTTGATAGGCAGTCTTAACATTGTTTTAACACAGAAACATCTACAAACCGTTAATGCTAGGACTCCACAAGACACTGAGTCTCCCTGGAAAGAATGAGGCAGAGTGCTGCGAGTGAGGCAGAGTGCTGCAGGACCACCTCAAAATATTGTGACCCTTCTTTCGCAGAAAGGCTCTAAAATATAAAGGAAAACCCTTTATAAATGTTAGCATATGTTTTCAAAGCCTACAAGTTAGCTTTATTTTGTCAGTATGGTACCAGGAAGTGCCATTCTTTACCTTGTTGTCTCCTGCCATGTTTTCTGATCTGCTTTGGTTTCTTCCAAAGGATCCAGGAACAGGCAACATTTTTCTTTGGGATACAGAACCTATGTATGTGTAAAGTTTTGATATGAATTTTTGTGGCATAAAAGTTGCTAACATTATTAATCTGTTGCCAAAATAGCTACAAAATGGTTCCTTTGCAAATGTTTTGGGGAAAGGTAACGTAATACATTGTGTGTGCTACAAAATAATGCTGGCATGTAGGTATGATGTTTTTCCAAGCATATAAATATAGAATGATAGTCAAAACAAGTACTCCCTGTGGAGTACAAACATTTTGTTGTATTGCAATATTCCCCTCCAAAGGTTAAAAAAATCTACATTACATATTTTTAAATCATCATTTTTTTAGGCCTTGAAATCTCAGTTACAGTTTACCCACTCAAATTGATCCTTGATGACAAATTATACTTATACTTTATTCATAAATTATATATTCTGTCTTACCACCAGAATCCAATAATGGCTCTTATTATCCCCACGGCAACATCATATGTCTTGAAATCCATCTAAAAATATATGAAAAAACATTTAGTTTAGCTCGTCTGTAGAAATAATCGTGAACTTTCAATAAGGCCTACTTACTACCTGCAGTCTGGGTGGCTTCCAATTCCATATTGCTGACATTACAAAGGAGTCTATGACAGCTGCTGTTTTCCCCTTTACATCATTATGCCGCTGTACATGTCATGATTCTGTCCTTTTTGCTTCCATTTGTGCTTTTATTTTGATACTACTTCCTGTCCCCAGCTCAACCTGACTCCCGGGAACTTTAGTTCATTATCCAAATTGGTTTCACCTGCTTCTGATTACCCACACCTGCTCATAACAGTATATAGCAGCTTCTCACCCTGTAGGAAGCTGCCAGATTCTTCTTGACTCCCGTTCAAACTTTCCAGCATTATTCTTGATGCCTGTGTTTCCTTCTCTGAATAAAATGTGCTATACATTTTGTTGAACATTTCTTTGCATTCTTATGCATGTCAGTCATTCGACTGTCAAGCAGCCACACTTTTTTTGTCAAATTTAAATTTTCACAGCAAGTTAATATATCAATAAATCATTCATTTAAAAAAAAAAAACCAAATCTTTTTTTTTTTTTTTTTTTTTTAT